TTAACTGTTCACTGATGTTATAATAAATCACTCGATCAGTCTGTGCACTGGCAAGGCTGCTATCTAAAGGTTTACCAAACCATCTTAAAATTTAAAAATCTCAATCTGGATGGCAGCCCAACAAGGCAGACCCCAGAAATCCTGTTCAAGCTCAAGAAAAGTTATAATCAGGGTACCCGTACAGGCTAAACAGGGATTGTCAACTTCGGTCCTCTGCAGATAAGGATGCAACTTTTACTTCTCCTACTTACAGCCCATGCTGTATAGTGATGGTAATTATGGCTGTCCACAGACTTCTGTCTCCTGAACTCTGTTAATGTGGCAGATGTTCTTGTGTGCCCTGATGCTAAATTGTCCGGTTCTTGCCTCTTGTTCTGCCTGTTGTCTCTTGTTCTGCCTTTTGTCTCTTGTTCTACCTTTCATTTCTTGTTTTGCCTTTCGTCTCTTGTTCTACCTTTCATCTCTTATTTTGCCTTGTATATCTTGTTCTGCCTTTCATCTCTTGTTCTGCCTTTTATCTCTTGTTCCGCCTTTCATCTCTTATTTTGCCTTTTATATCTTGTTCTACCTTTCATTTCTTGTTCTGCCTTTTATCTCTTGTTCTGCCTTTTATCTCTTGCTCTAACTTTCATCTCTTGCTCTACCTTTCATCTCTTGCTCTACTTTTCATCTCTTGTTCTACCTTTCATTTCTTGTTTTGCCTTTCGTCTCTTGTTTTGCCTTTCGTCTCTTGCTCTACCTTTCATCTCTTGCTCAAACTTTCATCTCTTGCTCTACTTTTCATTTCTTGTTCTACCTTTCATCTCTTGTTTTGCCTTTCATATCTTGTTTTGCCTTTCGTCTCTTGCTCTACCTTTCATCTCTTGCTCTAACTTTCATCTCTTGCTCTAACTTTCATCTCTTGCTCTACCTTTCATCTCTTGTTTGCCTTTGATCTCTTGCTCTACCTTTCGTCTCTTGCTCTACCTTTCATCTCTTGCTCTACCTTTCATCTCTTGTTTGCCTTTGATCTCTTGCTCTACCTTTCATCTCTTGTTTGCCTTTGATCTCTTGCTCTACCTTTCATCTCTTGCTCTACCTTTCAACTCTTGCTCTACCTTTCATCTCTTGTTTTGCCTTTTATCTCTTGTTTTGCCTTTTATCTCTTGTTCTGCCTTTTATCTCTTGTTCTGCCTTTTATCTCTTGTTCTGCCTTTTATCTCTTGTTCTGCCTTTTATCTCCTGTTCTGCCTTTCATCTTTTGTTTTGCCTTTTATCTCTTGTTTTGCCTTTTATCTCTTGTTCTGCCTTTTATCTCTTGTTCTGCTTTTTATCTCTCATTCTGCCTTTCATCTCTTGTTCTGCCTTTTGTCTCTTGTTCTAGCATTCACCTCTAGTTCTGCCTTTTATCTCTTGTTCTGTCTTTCATCTCTTGTTCTGCCTTTCATCTCTTGTTCTGCCTTTCATCTCTTGTTCTGCCTTTCATCTCTTGTTCTGCCTTTCATTTCTTGTTCTGCCTGTTATCTCTTTTCTGCCTTTCATCTCTTATTTTGCCATTCATCTCTTGTTCTACCTTTCATCTCTTGTTCTACCTTTTGTCTCTTGTTCTGCCTCTCATCTCCTCCAACTTTCCTGCTGTGATGACATACTCCAGTTTTCCCACTTCTCATAATTGCTTTGGTAGTCACGTCTGTCTACAGACTTCTATCTTATGTACTGTTAATCTGACAGATATTCTCACATGCCATGACGCCGAACTGTCCAGTATCTTGTCTCTTGTTCTAACTCTTACCTCCTCCAACTTGTCATGTCTGTCTACAGACTTCTATCTTATGTACTGTTAATCTGACAGATATTCTCACATGCCATGACGCCAAACTGTCCAGTATCTCGTCTCTTGTTCTAACTCTTACCTCCTCCAACTTGCCTGCTGCAATGACAAACTCCAGTTTTCCCACTTTTCATAATGCCCCTTGGTAGTCATGTCTGTCCTCATCCTTCTGTCCCACATACCAGACTGCCCAGCACCTTGTTTCTCCGTCTCCCTCTCCCTCTTGTGCTCCTCCCTTTCCTATTGTCCCAGCATACCCCAGTTTTGCCCTTCTCATGAGGTGTCCACACAATGTAGGCTGTCTTCTTATGATGTAGGTAATCAATTCCTTTCATGAATTAATTTCTTTCGAGGCATCTTCATTATGCTTTTTTTTTATCTTATGGCTACAATAAGTACTACCCTAGTGTATAGTAAATATGTGAGGGTAGGGGAGTATCTTCATTAGAAAGATTTGCCATGACTTGCAAACTGGAAAAAAAAGTGGTGATCAGTATTAATGCATCCCCCCTCCCTCCTCCCAAATCGTTTAAACCAACTTACATCAATACCAGGGTTACCATCTCGCCCATCTCGACCAGGAATTCCAGGCTCACCCTTGTCTCCCTTATCTCCTTTTTCAGCTGAAATAGAAAAGAAGTGCCAGTTATGACTTTAGCTGTGCCACAAAATGTTTATTTTAATTTATGCAATCCCTACAATCAAGGCTCTCTACCGAATGTTGAATGTTGAATTAGGAAACGACATCACAGCACTTGGGACACCCCCCATAAGTGCTCCGTCCCCATCTTACAGCAGCAAGCAAAGAGTTAAAATTGGGATGGTACTAGCAACTGTCTGGTTGTATATCCATCTCGCCTTTCCCCTGAGTGTCGAGCGTCGGCCAGATCCACTTGAAACTCCGTGCAGTGCCATTCTCCTCAGACTGTATTGATCTATCTGTTCCTCTGCACTGTTCACTCACTCCCAAAGGGCCCTCACAACTTCCGGCTTGTCATACATCAGTTCACCACCAAGTGGTGCAGAACCAGTCAGTCTATCTGACTGCTCATTTACCAAAACACTAGCATGACCTGGAGAAAATATCCAAAGGATGCTAACTGACTGTTAGCAAATTATATGTAATGTTTGTAAATATTTCTTACCCAGAAGACCAAAGCCACGTCCCTCGGGAACACCAGGTGGGCCAGGTGGGCCTACCTCCTTTAGGTCCAGCAGGGCCCTGGAGAAAAGGTTGAAAAAAAAAAACGTGAACAACTTATTTGGGAGCTGCGGAGATGTGGTTTTATAGACGAATGACGAGAATACACTGGACAGATTTAAAAAAAAAAAAGCAATTAAGATGTCTTGAAAGAAACTGACTCACAAAGAGAACTGATTACCCTTATCAGAAAGAGACAATCTACATTCTTTGGTTATGTGATGAGAAGGAGAAAACTGAAGCACATCATGACAGAAGGAAAGCTGGAGTGGAGGAGAGGCAGAGGGAGAACGAGAGAAAAGATTCTGGACAGTCTGACATCATGGCATGGTTGATCACCTGTATCAGAGATGACTGAAAGTACACGAGACAGAAGGTTGTGGATAGACATGACAACCAACATCACATGGCACGGACTTTAAAAAGAAGGTGATTGATGTGAAGCAGATACTATGATCTGAACTCACCAATCTTCATTGGCATCTGATATTTTAAAAAACATTACTGAAATAATGTTGCGAGCTGTGGTACAGCAGGGGGTAGATGTTTCACTGCAGGCTCAGAGACCTTGGGTTCAAATCAACACTGAGAGAGATTTTTGTAAAAATGAACCTAAGCTGTCACATCAACCCAGGCCAAACTAGGTACCAGGTCATTTCCTGGAAGTTAAGGCAGCTGGCATGATACTGACCGCACAACTAACTGAGTGCCCATTGCCCTAGGTCTAGCAATACATGCCTGATGTACCTAAGACATACAAAAGTGTTCTTCTCTTACTTGTTATCTGTTGAGAGCTGTAGTATACAGCAGATGCTTTCTTCTTCTTCTTTTGCCTTTTATCCCCCACCCCCACCCCTACCCCTTTCCCAATGAAGCATAGTACCTCAACCAGCTCATGGCAAGTGATCCTATAATTTGCTAAAATATGTTCTCCTATATTTTTAACTTCACCCTCTAGCTACAGCTCCTCTGTGTTTTTATGGTCTGAGTTTATTTTCATGCCCCTGTGGGTTCCAGTGCAAAGACACTCTAGTTATATTGTTCTCAGGTTTTCTCATTGTATGTCCTATCCAATGCCATGTCTTTTATTCACCTCTTGATTCACTGGAATTTGTTTAGTTCTCTCCCAAAGCTCAACATGAGTAATTCTACCATAACATTCATTGCCTCTATTCTGTGCAGGCACAAGTAAATGAAAGTTTGTTGTTTAATAGTTATTGTTTTAGTTAGTTTTAATGCTGAATTAAGAATCAACATCATAGCACTCAGGACATTCCCATAAGCACTGAATCCCCATCTTCAGCAGCAAGTGAAGAGTTTAATTGTGACGGCAGCAGTAACTGTCTGATTGTATAACTGTCTCGACTTTCCCTTGAGTATGAACAAATCAGAAAGCTGAACTGGGGATCTGGAGATTGGGATATACCAAAGAATAGGTTGTATTTCTGGACCAATCAAATACATTTCTGAAGTGACGGGGAATAATCTGGATACAATCAAATACATTTCTGAAGTGACGGGGAATAATCTGGACACAATCAAATACATTTCTGAAGTGACGGGGAATAATCTGGACACAATCAAATACATTTCTGAAGTGATGGGGAATAAAAACAAAGCCGCACAAGGAAATTGGAAAAAAAAGGTGAAATATTTTGGTCACATAAAAAGACATAAAACTCTTATAAAAACTGTATTGGATAAGGGAGTTGAAAAAAAGTTAGCAAGAGTTAAACAGCAATGTAAGTTTTTTGTGGGGGGGGAGGGGGGAAGAGGGGAATAACATCAAGTGATGGATAAACAGCCTAAGAGAATGTACAAGCAGGAAAAGACACAACATTCACTGTAGATGCAATATCTGACTGATATTATAAGAACTACTACAGCCTCTTGTATACTGGGAGACGACAAAACAGTTCAACAAACAACTTACAACATTTGCCATAAACAACAACTTACAACATCTCCTTTTGGTCCAGGAATGGCAACACCACTGCCAGGTAGGCCAGGTGTTCCACGATCACCTTTGGGCCCTGGAAAGCCTGCTCCTTTCTCACCTTTCCTACCTCTGAGACCTGGTCTGCCCTGTTAATAATATACAATAAATATTACATGTGCATCAGTTTCAGGTGATATCTTTTTAAGTCAAAAGGTGATAATTTTCAGTGTATTAATGTCATTCCTTAGGTATCAGTTTCAGGTAATACCACCATAAGTAAAGTAATAAATTTAACTGTCTTACCATCAGTAATGGGCATCAGTTTCAGGTGATATCAGCATCAGTCAAAAGCTGATAATCTTCAGTGCATCAGTGTCAGTCAATGACATTAGTTATCATATCTATCAATGGCCTGCTGTTGATTTCTCCCGATTCCAGGAAGCCAAACTGTCCAGTATCTCTCTTGATCTTTCCTTGTCTGTCCTTTCCTCCAGAATTTATCTGTTTATGATGTACTCCAGTTTTCCTCTTTTCAAGATATTTTCAACAACAACCAAATTTGCACTGTCTGTTTCTAAAGCAAAGTATCAGTTAACTTTGTGAGCAAAATTTTTTTTTTTTTTAAAGAAATCTTAATTATATATTTGTTTTAAAATTTGTCCTTCAGATAAACCATATATTTTCTGTATAAATTCTCACTAATCTGCAGACTGTCCATGATTCACCTCTATACATCAGGGTAAGCTCTATATAACTCTTTCTGCACCAGACACTGCGCAGGCTGCTGAAAATAGGGATGGAATGTGTATGAAAATGTAAAAAGGACGGTAAATATGTATGTAGCTGTAATGCTGACTGACTTTCTACCCCACTAGGACATCACACAAGCGATAAACACCCGATGACACAAAGTCCCACCATGCGGATGAGGATCACCGTGGAGAGGTCCCAGAAACCGCGTTCAGACAATTGGCCATATTGATGGCCTGCCTATATTGCGGCCCACTGAAATGCTGCTCTCCCTTGGGTTATTCTATATTTGACTCCTTTAGAAAATGTGTTTTCATTATACAGTATATAATTATATTTATGCATGTCACTATTTTTAAAATAACCATTTAAAAGAATTATTGTTAAACAACAAACATGTAAATTTAGTGTGATCACACAAAAATATTATTGGTAATAACATACCATAAATCCTGGCAAGCCCATTTCACCTTTAAATCCTCTTGGTCCAATATCTCCTTTATCTCCCTTATCCCCCTGTGGTCAAAAGAGAAAATCAACAATAAAACATACATAAACATTGAATTGAATTATAACCTTCATTAATAACAAATTGTATTTTTCTCTTTTGATGAAGGAACAAAACATCTTCTGCTTCTTCCTCAGGTTCACCAGCTGGAAATTCTTGCAGAGAAAGTTCTTGTTGTTCACCTCTTGCAATCTTTCTTTGTCAACTGAAGCCAGAAAGAGAATTCTTGAAAGCTAAATAAATCCTATATTGATATAAGGGTGTGAAACATGGACAGTTAGTAAATTAGTGAAAACTTTTTTGGAAGCTGCGGAGATGTGGTTTTATATACGAATGATGAGAATACCCTGGGCAAATAAAAAGAGTAATAAAAACGTCTTGAAAGAAACTTGCTCACGAAGAGAACTGACTGCACACATCAGAAATAGACAGTTGGTATTCTTTGGTCATGTGATGAGAAGGAGAAAACTGGAGTACATCATGATGGTAGGGAAGTTGGAGGGAAGGAGAGGCAGAGGGAGACTGAGAGATCAGATGCTGGATAGTCTGACATCATGGCATGGAAGACCATCTGTGTCAGAGTTTATCGAAAGTACACAAGACAAAAGGTTGTGGATAGAAATGACCACCAATGCCACAGAGCATGGACTCTGAGAAGAAGTGATGTCCTGGGGGGGGGGGGGGTTGAACATCAGTCAGTCAGCTGTATACTCTCCCAGGCTGTTGTTTCTCTACCTCGTGGTAGCATCCCTCTTCTAAAGCTGTCTGCTTCTTGTTCAGTTAGTTGCCTTTAACTATTCCCTTCAGTACTGGTTTCAAGTCGGCTCTGTTGCTTAGTCGATGCAAACGCTTTGTAATGCCCGGATGCCAGGTTCGATCCCAGCTGCAGGCCATGCACCTTGCGTTGGTTTCGACAGTGGTATCAAAAAAGCCTATCGTCCAGAAAGAAATGGCAAACTACTGGACGTAAATTTGCCGAGAAAAACCACGCAATAGCCAGGGGCTGTTGGGGTTGGTTCTGCAACCTTAACTAGTTTAAAAGATTGTAGCGTCTTTTACTTTACTTACTTAGTCGCTCTTCTTCTACCTTAGGGTGTAGAGGTTTGCCAGAGAGATCGCCAGACGTCTCTATCAGTGTCTTTTAATGTGACCAAAATATCATACTCTTTCATTTATTTATTTTAACAGCTTTCTTTACCTTCCAAGTCTTTCCTGAACCTCTGTATTTGTTTTTGTTTCCATAAAATATGGCCTGTTTTTCTGTATCTCCAACTCTCTGGGGTTTTAGCTTGGCCTTATGGCAGCTTTTTTTTTTAGGTTTCTGAGCCATCTGGTGAAGCTGAGTATGCATAACAGTATACAACAGGCTGCTATGAAACTCCATGCATTTCATCTGCCCCTCAACACAGATGGTATTGTTTTTTCCTTTACTTTCAACAAAACCACATTGCTATTCTCCCATTTCTGATTAAATTTTGCATCTTATTCTTCACATGATAATTCTCATTAATGTTTTAGTTACATGACTCATTAAACTAATTGTTCTATGTTCTCCACATTCCACTGCACAAGGTGTTTTTGGTAAAGGTATGAAAAGAGATTTCAAAAGGTCATCAGATATGTATCCACTGTTATTAATATCACTGAACAATGACAGGTTTGATAATTAAACAGGACATCACACTGAGCGATAAACACCTGGTGACACAAAGCGCCACCATTTGGATAAGGATCACCCGGGGACAGATTCCAGAAACCCTGTTCAACCAATAGGTTGGGTTATATTAGGGCCCCCAGCAACAGCCAGGGTGAAGTTTGAAAAAAAAAATTTGCATCTGACACTGGGATGCAGTGATTAGAGTGTACAACAAATCACATTTTATTTTAAATTTAGTAACTATCTATATCTCTTCAACATCATGGACAGAATCCAGTCCAGCATCCTTGGCCTCTCTCACCAATGTTTTTTTTTTAAGGGTTTCTTTTTGATGTCCACACCTCCTCAATCCCATTATTTCCCTTTACAGGATGTTCCTAATTTATACCTTGTTGTGAACAGTGATTGCCCAGACGTTTCAATTATTTCTTCACCCCTTTTGAGAGTCGACTAATTGGTAGCTTCCTTTGAAGTCAGAGTGCATCTGCCTGAGAGGCAAGGAACAAGCAGTCTGCATTCAAGTGAATCAGATCTGTAAAACTGATGCACATGCAACACTCAGGTTCTGAAGCAGGACTGCAGTCCAGGTGTGGACGAACAACCAGAACTTTCCGCCAGAGTGTACAGCTGGTGAACACGAAGAAGAAGAAGAAGAATTTATCCCATTTTATGTTCAACATTTATTTTTCTCAGACATTTGTATTCAAATGTGTTAAACTTTTGTTCCATGTCTCGAGTGGTTCTCCAAATTCCTGGGGCATGTGTTAAAACTGAAAAAAAAAAAAACATTAGACTTAAAAAGAAATGTGTAACTTTATTTTAAAACTATAGAATTTAGAATCCCATATTTTGTTCAGGTTTAGCATATACATACACACACACATACAAAAGAAATCCCAAAGACAATATAACTTATCTACATGTATCATACACATAGTCATTATACAATAAAGGATATCTATTTCAATTAAAAACTTAGGTAGAAATTAATTTTAGAAAACAAAAAACAATAACCTTTGGACCCGGTCCCAAAATACCAGCACCAGCAGGACCTGGGGGACCCATGGGACCTACAGGTCCACGTTCACCAGGCTCTCCTTTTGGACCCTGGAAGAAAACAGTTAATGTTGGAAAAGTAAGTAAATCTTCTAGAGGAAAAGTGATATTCTTATCTCATGGTAAGCAAACCTAATTAATTGAATAATATAGTCTTTATCTTGTTTCGCTTCCATGATTTCTGTTCCAGTGGAGCATAGGTCTTTAATCAACACACTCCAAGTACTTCTCAAAGTCACTTCAATCAAACTGACAGTTTTACTTTGAACTGAAAAGCATCCAGTTGGTTAAAACAGCACTAAACTTAAGGATGAAACAAAACTTATAGTGAATGTCAGGAACTGCTAGATATTATGAGAGTAGAAATGTAACTGGGCTGATGAGCTACTGTCCAACATGTTAATGACTTGCAAACCATTTCTATCTCATTCATGGATATACGTAACATACTGGTAATAATTAACAATAAAAGCACAATCTCACAACATGTCAGTCGGCTACAAAAACCTAAACTTAACTGACCAAACTTAACCTCTCTCGTTATTTAGTGGCATGGTCAGTCCATAACTTGTCATATATGACAAGTCCTGTCAGGTTTGTCGCCAACTAACATATATGACAAGTCCAGTCAGGTCTGTCACCGACTAACATATATGACAAGTCCTGTCAGGTTTGTCGCCAACTAACATATATGACAAGTCCTGTCAGGTTTGTCGCCAACTAACATATATGACAAGTCTTGTTGGGTTTGTCACCAACTAACATATATGACAAGTCCTGTCAGGTTTGTCACCAACTAACATATATGACAAGTCTTGTTGGGTTTGTCACCGACTAACATATACGACAAGTCTTGTCGGGTTTGTCACCAACTAACATATATGACAAGTCTTGTTGGGTTTGTCACCGACTAACATATATGACAAGTCCTGTCAGGTTTGTCACCAACTAACATACATGACAAGTCCTGTCAGGTTTGTCACCAACTAACATATATGACAAGTCCTGTCAGGTTTGTCACCAACTAACATATATGACAAGTCTTGTTGGGTTTGTCACCGACTAACATATATGACAAGTCCTGTTGGGTTTGTCACCAACTAACATATATGACAAGTCAGGTTTGTCACCAACTAACATATATGACAAGTCCTGTCAAGTTTGTCACCAACTAACATATATGACAAGTCTTATTGGGTTTGTCACCAACTAACATATACGACAAGTCTTGTCGGGTTTGTCACCAACTAACATATATGACAAGTCCTGTCAAGTTTGTCACCAACTATCATATATGACAAGTCCTGTAGGGTTTGTCACTGACTAACATATATGACAAGTCCTGTCGGGTTTGTTACCAACTAACATACATGTCTTAGTGAGTAAGTTTCATGAAAACAAAAACGGTCAAACAGAAGAGTTATGAAGAGGCTGAGAAAGAACAGAGAGCTGTTGAAATAAATACAACAAAGACAAAGAGAACATTTCAGCTACATTCAGAAATTACACCCTTGTTAAAAAACCATACTAGAAAGAACAGGAGCCACCATGATGTAGTGGCTTTACGCTTGCCTGTCAGTCAGCAGGTTGTGAGTTCAGAGTGACCGAACCAGACTTTTGTTTTCCTTTTTCAAAAATGATCTTGGCTCCCAGGTAGACCCAGGCTTAAGTGGGTATCAGGTGCAGTCCTGGGAAGTAAAGGCAGCCGGCATAATGCTGACCACATTATCCACCAAGTGCCGATTGGTCTAGCCCTATATGCACATTACCCCTGAAGGCATGGAAAAGAACCCTTTACAATACTTTACACTAGAGGAAGCAGTTAAATGTAATTGAGAAAGGGGTAGACAAGAATACAAACTGGAGATTGACTCTTTGAATCCCAAGGAACGCATCATATGTTCATATTTTACTGCCTTGAAGCCTAAAGAACAAATGATACGCCGATTTTACGACTCTCTTGACTACCCCTTGGGCCCATGATGCTAAACCCTCTGGGATGCAAAGAGTTAATGTCAAGAGATAGGCGAACAGCAGAATGTACAAGAACAGAACAGACAGCTGAAGATCCATTGAGTCAATGTTCCTTTAGGAGACAGAAGCTGTTTAAATTACATATAGTAGTAATCCAAAATGTTTCTTTCAAAGTTGGAGTCTGCCTGAAAGGCAAAAAACCAACAGCCTGCACTTAAATCAGATGGATGAACATCCAGGAATTTCAGCCAGAGTTTACAGCCAGTGAATGCGAACAAACAAACAAACAAACAAACAACAAAGTGTAAAATACTCACTGCAATGCCAGGTAATCCATCTTCACCTCGGGGTCCTGGAATCCCTGGCTTTCCATCGCGACCAGCCTCGCCTGGCATACCTGGCATACCTCTGTCTCCTTTCTCTCCTGCTAGTCCCTAAAATAAAAGTTTACACCGATTTAGTTTAAAGAAAAAAACAAAGGCCTGCATTTCACAAACAGGCATACCTCCGTAAATGCTCTGGTCTCCATTCCTAGGTGGACACAATGAGATCTCCAGCACAGTTGAAGAAATCTTTAGAACCAGCAAGAATTCCAGTGGGTGCATACCAGAACCACACTTGATGTATAAGAAGAAGGAAACTGGAACAAGTGACCACTGGAAAGATTTGTGGAGAGAGAGACAGAGGAAGACAAAGCTAGAGATGATTCTTGACAGCTTTTTGTCGTGACATGAAGGGGTCTCAACACATGCAACGATTCATGCAGTAGAAGATCGCAGATTATGCAGAGGCAAAGTCTCCTACCCCAGCTGGCAAGGCACTTGAAGTAACTATACTTTCATGCGTAGATTTTCTAACTGTGAAATTAGCCTGAGCAGATGCCTGTTCTTTTACATTTATCACCTTTAAAACATTTGTAAAGTGAGCAGCACATGCATGCGACAACACCACAAACAATGTAGTTCACCAAACCATTCCTCAACTCTATGAATCTCATTTAGCAACAGTAAAGTGACACAATATACAAGGTTGCAGACATGTAAAAAGACCCACCAACCTTTTGAAATCTGCCTACATGGCTGAGTACAAGATAGAAGCAGTCAAAGCAAGTCAAGAAAAACAAGGATCCATAATCTGCAGACTTGATAGGCTTCTGATTAGAAAAAATCTAGTCATATGCATTTTTATGACAAGGGTGTCTTCAATGTCGTATGTTCACTTCATTGTTGGATTTACCTACTTTTTATCGAAGATCAAATGTATTTCCTTATTATTCTTTCTAAGCCAATGCAATGTTTAACATGTTAAAAATACATATGTTTAAGAGGCCTGATGCTGCTCATCAATTTTTAATTGTTAATTTTTTTTTTTTTTTTTTTTTAGAGAATCAGATCTTGTTTGTAATTTTCTGTTTCTTGGTATACTGTTATTTTCTCCCACTCCCGTGCCCTTTTTTTCCCGCCTGAGCTTGTCATTTCTTTTACTACACGACATATTTGGATTTGCTTGCTTGTGCTATGTCACTAACAATTCATATTATAATACTTTATATCACTGTGACAAGTCTTTTTAGAAGATCTTTTGAATGGATCCCATTGTTGTTAACTGAGTTAAGCTGTGTTGAATCGACAGCACAGAGCTTGGAAATACACCCATTAGTGTTCCAGCAGCCAGCTAAGATTTCTAATTCAAGTGATGCCAGTAACAGATTACATTATTGTCATGAGTAATTAGAGGAATAGCTAGCCAAGCGCTTACAACATCAGACTCTCATACAAGAGACCCAGGTTTGACCCCGGTAATACGATGGAGTTTTTCTATCAGGTGCAAAATTAAACATCATAAACCGTAGTCCGTGGTGACAGCACAAGCAGTGCGGCCTTAAATCAACAGGCTCACAACCCCCTGTCTACACGGCCCCAGAAAGCAACACATACAGAGGTCTCAGTTTATTTTATATTTTTTTATATTCACTAAGTCAGCTCTGTGGCTAAGTCGATGCGAACGCTTCGTAATGCCGGGGTACCGGGTTCGATCCCAGCTGCGGGCCATACGCCTTGCTTTGGTTTTGACAGTGGAGCCGACCATCCAGGAAGCAATGGCAAACTACTGGATGTAAATTTGCCTAGTGAAACCACACAACAGCCAGGGGCTGATGGGGTTGGTTCTGCAACGTCCTGTAAAGGATACACAACTAACCTGATATTTACTAATTGTGGAGTAGATGACATTTGAAAAAAGATGACAAATTGAAGTACATCAACATATGTTTTCAAGTTTAACATTTTATGTATATTAAATAAAAGTGAAGGACCATTTATGCCAGTGGCCCATGATGCCAGACTTATATTTTTATGGACCAACTGGCACTCTCTGGGTGATGGTGTTAACCTCAGGCCTGCCCCATTTATTTTCAGGTTTGTGTACCCATTTAAAGCTGGGTCAACCTGGGAGCCAAAGTAAATTTGGAAAAATCAAACACTGAATACAGAATCGAACCCAAGACTTCTGGGCTAGCAGGCGAGCCACCACGGTTCCATACTTGTAATATATTTTAGGAAGAGAACAAGATCTGCTTTAAAGAGGTCTCAGTTAAAATTTAAAAAAAAATTTAAAAAAAAAATAAATTAACAAACAACAACAAAAACTTACTGGAGAATCTCCAAACACATCACCACCACCTCTAATGACTGTTGTTGGACCCGGCGGTCCTGCTGGTCCAGTGTCACCTTTGTCTCCCTTAGGTCCCGGTGGAGAAGGTTCTGCAGGTACTGGAAGTGCTGGAAGGCCTGGCTCTCCTCTGTCCCCCTTAGGATCAAAACACAAAAAAAATTATGTGCCGTCTCCACACTGGAGGTTGGCTAGTGACCTACTGCTGTCTTTATTTGAATAACGTGGTGAGGCCCCAATTTCTTCCATGGTGTGACATGGTGTCTTAATGCATGGGCCAGCTGGGAACTTGCCCAGCGGCCCTGGGAGGACAGGGGCCCCATGCTAATTTGTGTATATCAAGTAACCATTAACATTTCAAGGCTGTCGTAGGGACCCCAGCTCACTGGTCTGCCCAGGTGTCCGTAGTGTTGTTAAGATGGTTCTGTGGTGTGACTCTGGTACCATCATCTAAAAATCAGCAGAATGGTTCAAAAAAAAAAACTAATTTACTGTTCATCAGATAGCCTAGTATGCAGAGGATCATGGCATCGTTAAACCCACCCACTAACCTCTAAAACACAGATACTTAAAGATTATATACAACCACAATACAAATTTAGTTTTAAGTAATGTTTAATGTTGACTCTTTCAGCCCGAGCAATATACACTGTGACTGACTCTTCCCCTAACGAATGTTGTAAGGGTAAAAAAACTTAAAGCTTTCTTTGAATGTTGAATGTTGAATTAAGAATCGACATCACAGCACTCGGGACACTCCCATCTGCGCTCCTTCGCCATCTTCAGCAGCAAGAGAAAAGTTAAAATTCTGATGGTACCAGTAACAGTCTGATTGTATATCCGTCTCCCCCCTCTCCCAAGTGTCGAACGTCGGCCAGATTCCCTTGTAACTCCTCGCAGTGCCATTCTCCTCAGACCGTAATGATCTATCTGTTCCTCGGCACTGTTCACTCGCTCTCAAAGGGCCCTCACAACATCCAGCTTGTCATACATCAGTTCACCACCAAGTGGTGCAGAACTAACCAGTCAAACTGCCTGCTCATTTCCCAACAAACCGGCATAACCTGGAGAAACTATCCAATGGATGCTAACTACCTTGGACCTTTGAAGTGATGCTTGCCGTTCTGCACGGAGTATGCCTGTCTCCACCTTTCTCAGCATGCTTTGTGAGTCAGTTACAATGACGGCATGTGTGAACAGCTGATTCTCAAGCCAGCGGAAGGCGGCAGTGACTGCCTCCACCTCCATTCTCAAACTAGATGTTGTGATATTATATGCCAGGCTATGTTGTGCCAAGCGACGTCCATTCGCCTTCGCTATGAACCCCCATGCACTTCGTCTACCATTCACCACAGAGTCATTTGTATATACTATCACATCACTTGGGCGGGAATTGTCATGAATCATTTGTTGAACTTCTGATTCTGCAGTACCAGCTGGCCAGTCCCTGCACTCACGTCTCAAAGTGATTAGAACCCTACAGAAGTCTGAAACATGATCAGAAACTTTAACCCACTCCTCTCCTCGCCTAAATTTATCAAGCCTGCACACATGTCGAATTGTGTCTTCAGCTTGCGCCATCCAAGACTTTCCTCTTTTCAGTCTGTGACCCTTAGCTCTATCCAGGGCTTCAGCAGGAGGTGCCTCTTGTCCGCAGCTACTCTGAGATATGAACTTTGCTTGCAGAACTTTGAGCCTATCTGCAATAGTAGGCATTGCAAGTATATATCGCATACATGCTTCCCGGAGTATCTCTTGCACATCCTAGAATAACCTGCATGGCTTCATTCTGTATGCCTACAGTTCAAGTTTCATCAGCTGACTCTTTGATATGGTAAGCATGCCAAGTCCATAATCTATCACCGACAGGATCACATGCTGGAACACTGTGAACAGCCTTCTTTGTTCCATGTCCATTGCTGCCATAATATTGAGAGCATTGAGTCCTTTTTGGCATTTCACTGGAACTGCATCCACATGATCCCTGAAGGACAGGCTTCTAAAAAAATGATACCCAGGTATCTCAGTTTGATTTCTTGTTTGATGTTACTGTTATGAACTGTGAGGTTTGGAACGCCAGCTTTTACAACTCTATTGTCCAGAGAACACCACAAAACAGCTGCCTTTTCTGAGTTGATGAGAACATCATTTTCGGCACACCAGTCAGTCACTTTGTCCACAGTTGCTTGTAGCTCTTGAGCTATCCGTCGTCTATCTCTCCCCTGCCTATATGCAAGAACCTCTCCCCTGCTTATATGCAAGAACATCATCGGCAGATGTCAATATTCTTCCAACACCTGGTGATTCAAGTTCTGCATCTTGCTTGTATACACATTAAAGAGCACTGGTTCCTTTAAAGTTAGAGTGCATCTGTCTGAGATCCAAGGAACCAACAGTCTGCATACACATGAGTTAGATCTGTAAAACAGATGTGCATGCAACACTCAGGTTCTGGAACAGAACTACAGTCCAGAAGTGGACAAACAACCAGAACATTCTGCTTGGAGTTTACAGCTGGTGAACGTAAAGAAAGAAAGAAGTATAGTCTGTTTGAATGTGCTACACTTGTGAAATTTCAAAACTGTGTTACCATCCATTGGGTCTATGATGCTATACCACCTGGGACTCAAAGAGTCAAGAACAATCTGTTGATCCTATCTATACTGACCAGGCCTTTGGGTGGGATCTGTTTTTAGGATGACCAGGGAAGAGGTGTACACAAGCAGTGAGCCCTGGTCCTGGTGACATCTCTGCTGATGTACCCAAACTTTCAAACTAAGCCTCACCTTGTCTCCTTTCTCTCCATCCCGTCCAGGCAATCCAGCCACTCCTTGGGGTCCTACAGGGCCGGGTGGACCTGGACGTCCTGGCTCACCGTCCTTTCCTGGGGCACCAGGTTCACCATCCAATCCCTATCAAAGAGGAAGACATCAATGAGTATCAGAAAAACATCTGCACCAGACACAAAAACATCTGTACCAGACATAAGATACCATGTAAGTTATGTGCATACATATAGTCTTTTTATATACAAATATGCCTGGCTCATTAGCTCAGTTGGTTAAAAATGACTGCACAGCGACCGGGTGACAAACTCCTTGTAGTTGTTGTCCGGGTTCACGACTGGGGGTAGGCAGAAAAGCCACATTTCTCCCATATTTACAGTTTCTATCGTGGAATCAAGGCCCAAGGGTTGCAATTTCCATAGTACTGAGCCAAAGGTTTAACAACTCATGGTTTCTGAATATTTAAAAAAAAAAAAATGTATATTGTGTTCTTCTTCTTCTTCTTCTCCGACATCATGCATTTATGTGTACACTTTAATTTTCTCTTTCTCTCGAGAGTTTCAGAAAAACACATGCATCAGACACAAGATACCAAAGGATTTAAAATAATCTGATTCTCCTTCAGCATCCCAAGATTCCCTGCTGCGGATCACCTGCTTCCATTCATCTCTGCGATTGGTCTTCTTTCCCCAGTTTGTGACTCTCAAGTGTTTGCAAGTCTGCCTAAATATTGTGTTACACAGTAACATCAGGAAAGCAGATACTTTTAAACTTGTCAAAGAATGAATGATGTGCTGAACTAAAACAGTTAAAAGATATGGAGAAGAAATTCATGACATTTTTTTTAAATTTTACGTTTGTAAATAAACACATAATTGAAAAAAAAAAAAAAAAAACACACACACTAATTCAGTCCAATTACACAGATTGGGTGGACCAAGAAAGGGGTAATATCAATTAACTGATAACAATCTGACCTTATCAAAGATACAGACTTGGTGAATCAAGAAACTGATAACAATCTTACCCCCTGGCAAAGCAAAATACAAAGACTGGAAGGAAGCAAGAAAGTGATAAAAATTTTACTAATGCCAAAGCTACAGACTTTGTGTATCAAGAAACTGATAACAATCTTACCCTTGTCAAAGCTACATAAAAAGACTGAAGGGAATCAAGAAAGTGATAACAATTTTACTAATACCAAAGCTAGAATGACAAGGCTACCAAGAAACTGATAATAACCTTACCCTTTCTCCTCTTTCTCCTGGTAAGCCAGGTAATCCTCGATCACCCTGAACACCACGCTCACCAGGTGGACCAATAAGTCCTTGAATGCCCTGCGGTCCTTGTGGCCCTTGAGGTCCTGGCAAACCGCTTGGTCCCTGCACCTGTCGAACATCCTGTAGTATGAAAGACAAAGATACAAGCCTCTGTGTTAGCAATGACAAATAGATAATTATTGTTCTTCTTCTTCTTGTCGTGTCACTAATACCAGGTTGCAGCCCAGCTTCGTGGTTTGTCTGTATACGTCTTGCACATCTTAGGGGATTTAGCTTAACCATTTATCTGTTTCTTTCTTGGTCCTTCCTCCCAGATGTTCTGCTGTAAACAAAAGTATCATATGCAGTTTTTTTATAGCTGCATTCTCACTAGACGACCGAACCATTTCAATCTTTGTCTGTCAATATATACAGACATGGTCTTATTCTAACTTTGTCTCCAATGCTGGTATTTGTAACCCTGTCTCTTCTTGTGTTGCCACTGTCCTTGCGGAGACAGCGCATTTCACATGCAGTTTTTGATAACTGTTCATTTTTGCTAAATCTACCACCTTTTATATAGGGACATGTGGTGGTAATGATATGTTACAGAAATCTTACATACTTTTCTCAACATAAGCTAGTCGAGCTTTCCCATCACAATGGACCCTAACTCCTATGCCTCTACATAGTAAAATGTAGACTATCGGCTGCAAACAAAGAGAGGTGCCAACAAGAGGAAGTCAAAAATTGAGTTACATATGTGTGTATATTTTAATATTAAAAATAAAAAAAATAAAAATTAGCATGGAATTTGTCTAATATTTCTTCTTGTTCTTTAGTTTGCTTTAAATATATTATCTATAACTGCGATGTTGTCTCCAGTATGAACTTCACTATTGTTATAATTCACTTAGCAACCAAGCTTTATCATTTATTATTCATTACACTTACAATACCGACTATTTCTCAATATAATTTTCAACAAGATTGATATTTTTTCATTACATTACTACTTCAAAACCTGAAGTATGAAAGTACATGTTCTGTTATTTTAGTCACATTCACACCTCATGATTAGAATCTGCATCATAAGGGATATTTACCGAACATAAAAAGCAGGCTTTCAGTGCATATGAGTGCAGTCTCCTATTTTACCTGCTGCATTGGTTTTCAACCTTTTTCAGGTTTCCGCACCCCACCCCTTTATAGTATGGCTTCAGCCTCCACTGACTTAAACAAAATGTGATTAAAAAAACAAACAGAAAATCCCAACCACTATTAACAAAAAAAACGGAGAAAAATATCCACATAAATCAAAGTATAAAGTAACGTAAATGTCCTTGGCCCTTTGTTTTACATACATATATATATATTTTTTTTTTCTTAAACAAAATATTTTATTCATAGTTAAACTTAAAAAAAAATATTAGTATAACATTTATTATAATTACAAACGCACTTAATTTCAAAATTGCCTGGAGCCCCCCCCCCCCCCCCCCCAACATTACTGACAACCTTACATCACATACAGTAGAATCATATACAAATTGTACAAATATTACTGACAGCCTTACATCACAAACAGTAGAATCACACATCAATTATTATCCTATTACTGACAATCTTACATCACAAACAGTAGAATCACACATCAATTATTATCCTATTACTGACAGCTCCATCTCAACACAAACAGTTAGAATCACACATCAATTATACAAATATTACTGACATCCTTACCTCACATACAGGAAAACTACACATAAACTGTATAGATATTACCAACAACCTTGCCTCACAAACAACAGAATCATATATAAACTGTACGAACATTACTGTTTTCCTTACTTCACAAACAATAGAATCGTACATATACTATACTGTCATTACCTAACAAACAGTAAAATCGCACTTAAACCACACTGACATTACCTCACAGTAGAATTCCACTTAGTATATGAATATTACCTACCTTACTTTACACATAGTAGAATCACCCATAAATAATACAGATATTAGTGGCAAACCTCACCTCACCAACAGCAGGACTGCACATAAATTTTAATGATATTCCTTTCTACCTTACCTCAGAAGCACGACCACTGCCATCATCTAGACCAAATATATCCGAATAAGAGCTTAACCCTGTGCTTGGTGGACCTGGAGGTCCCGGTGGCCCAGGTGGCCCTGCAGGCCCAAGTGTACCAGGAAGCCCATTGATACCATCTCTGCCTGGTAGACCTCTTTCCCCATCCCTGCCAGGCTGGCCAGGGGCACCATCTGAACCCTAAAGAGACACAGAAAGAAGAAGATGTTTTTGTTTATCATCATCATTATCGTCATCACCAGGCTAGTCAATGAGAAAACTAAAGACCAGATGAGTGAGTAAATCAAGAACTAACATCACTGTACTCTAACATTCCCACACATGCTCCGTCCCCTTCTTCAGTAGCCAGCAAAGAGTCAACATGCTCATAGTACCAGCTGCAATCTGATGACCTCTCAATGCTGAATATTTTCCAGAACCTCTACTCCCCGCCCCTCCTTTTTCACCCCCCGTGGCTAGATATGAGCAGAGATTGTTTTTTTCTGCAGCTCAAAATGCCATGGACCACGGACAATTTGTTTGCAGAAAGCTTAAGAGTTGAGCATCTGAGAAGAAGCCCACCAAATGCATGTGACAGCTAAAATGGTTCTGAAATCCCATGCTTTAATTGTGGAAGACTTTTCATGATAGTGGCCCGTCTTGCTAATCCCTCTCGCGATTGCCATATGTTCTTATTTTCATGCCTCCCCACATCACAATAAAATATTATTGTCCAGAAAGATGGAAAGGTGCTAGTTATTAAGTATTTAATGCTGATTACAGATCATCATGTTAGTTTCTTCTGGAATGTTTGCTTGCTTGCTACAATCTATACACTTGCTCAATGATATTGTTTTTTCCCCCAGTTCATCATGTACCATAACAAAAGTCATACTTCACCATCCAACAGGATCTCTACATCAAGACAGTGTTCTTGTGCCACACCAATAGTCATACTTCACCATCCAACAGGATCTCTACATCAAGACAGTGTTCTTGTCCCATACCAATAGTCATACTTCACCATCCAACAGGATCTCTACATCAAGACAGTGTTCTTGTCCCATACCAATAGTCATACTTCACCATCCAACAGGATCTCTACATCAAGACAGTGTTCTTGTCCCATACCAATAGTCATACTTCACCATCCAACAGGATCTCTACATCAAGACAGTGTTCTTGTCCCATACCAATAGTCATACTTCACCATCCAACAGGATCTCTACATCAAGACAGTGTTCTTGTCCCACCTCTATACATTTTCCTCCCCTAGTTCTCTTTCCCTGTATCAGGAGTGGCTGGTCAAATGGTTAGAATACTGGGCTTTCAAGCGGGAGACCTGGGTCTGAATACTCCGTTAGTCTGGGATTTTTTTCTTTGCCCCCCCCCCTAAAAAAAATTTTCAACCTGCAGAGTCCATGGCGACAGCACTAGCCATTCAGCCCTTAATCATCAGGCTCAAAGACCACCCATTCAACCTTACACTGCAAAAGTGATAAATACAGGCAGTAATTGGCAGTTTTTTTCAGCAACATTTAATATTCTGTTCTCTGTTGCCTGATGATGGTATGGTATTACTTGATGCACCTATCTCTCCATACTGGGTGAGGCCTCGCTTATAAAGCACCCATTTACATTTATCTGAAGAATTGAAGGCTGATGAATCATAATTTAATTTGTCACCTTGAAGAGGTTTATTTGTTTATAAAAAGGACTATTAGAGTAAACATCTTAAGCCTATCTGAATGACTTCACTTTTGCCTCAAGTAGGTTCCAGGTTCCAGTTTAGACGGGAAAAGAATAAGATTCACTGGCCCTTAACTCTTTGAGTCCCAGAGAATTTAGCATCACAGGCCCAGGGGGTAGTAAAGAAAGTAATAAAATGGGCACATCATGCGTTCATTGGGCTTCTAGGTAGGAACCTATGAATGTATGATGCGTTCCTTGGGACTCAAAGAGTTAATAAGCATTTTACAAAAAGCGAAGTTTTCTGAAAAAGGATTTGTTTGGCTGAAAGAAGCAGATATTGCAGTCTAGTTGTAAACCACAATAAAAAGTGCCATCCACCCTTTTTAGGATAAACACAAAAAAAAGACTTCCCTGTTTTTAAGTAACTTCATTCATTCATTGTTCAAAAAGTTAACTGTTCCAAAAGTGTTTTATCTAATCTGGAAAGAAGCAAGTCATGTTCTGTTCTAGAAAATGTTTCTTTTCCAATGCTTGAAGTTTACTAAGTATATGGTGCTGACAGTATGTTTGAATCACCACTGGTGCTGAATAAGTGGTGTGGCTAATATCTAACTGCCTGCCATTATTTTTCAGAACAATTATGGCACCCAAGATAAGCTGAGTTGGCCTGGCAGCCCAGGTTTTTCTTAGCGCTCACCAGCTGTAAACTCTGGTGGAAAATTATGGTTGTTCTCCACTTCTGGACTTTGGTCTTGTTTTAAGAATTTGGGTTTTGCATGAACTGGTTCCTCATCTCTCAGACAAAACATCCCAAGTTAGTCCACTTTTATGACATGCTTGTTAGAGGGGCAGTGGATCTATTCTACCACACCCCCCCAACCTCCACTGAGGCCCTGCAACTCATATGGGAACGAAGCCCAATTTAAGAGTAAACACAACAATTATTGAAACATGAGAGTTCCCATGGCAAAGTGGTCATGCTGTTTGCCACCTTGCTTTGAAGGTTATGAGCTTGTTTCACTGACTCATTTTCAGTTCATGAGTGCAATGCAGGAGCTAAGGAGCTTGTCCTTCATGTGACGCACGCAGCAGGGGACTAAACTTTCTGCAGTGAGGGACCTCAGCATATAGAATACATTTTTGGCATTCACTGGCTGTAAACTCCAGTGGAAAGTTCAGGTTGTTCGTTCATTTCTGGACTTTAGTCTTGTTCCAGAAATTGAGTTTTGCATGCACATCCATTTTACAGATCTGACTTAACTGCATGCAAGCTGCTGGTTCCTTGATTGTCAGGGAGATGCACTCCGACTCCGAAGGAAACATGCCTAATTGTTCAACTTGTACGGCACGCTTGTTAAGAGGCAGTGGATCTATTCCCAAAATAGGGCCACAGGACCCATACAGGGAACCCAGGGTAATGAAGTTGATTTTCCTGACTTCAACTTTATTTAAACAAAATTATTTTTGTCTTTAAAAGAATTATGTTTCTATTTAATTGTTATTTATGCAATATCAAAATAAAAGTCGGTCATTCAATTTTCAAAAACATGAAGAAAATAAAGGAACAATTACAGGCTCTCCTTTAGGTCCAGGCAATCCAGGAACCCCGACAGGACCAGGTCGCCCAGGTTCACCCTAGAAAGTTCAAGAAAATGTAAAGACATGAATGTAAATCTCATGCTATTAATATTATCAATAATAATTTCTTAGAAATAAAATGAAATTATTACAAAAAATTATTTATCTAAAGACACTTTTAACTCTTTTGGACCCACATGGTTTTGTACAAAAATAATTTATTCTGTTAAATACTGCCTTGAAAACTCTAACCACTTGTTATGTTGTAAGAATGAAAAATGAACTGAAAGATATCTCTGTGTTGTAGGAATGAAAAATGAACTGAAAGATATCCCTATGTTGTAGGAATGAAAAATGAACCCAAAGAAATCCCTGAGGTTGCCAGATGTATTTAGTATATGCTGACCAAATAATAAATATATGAACAGACTTGATGTGATGTATGAGACAAGGGGGAACAGTGAGTAACACATCATGCATTCTTTGTGACTGAAAGAGCTTAAACCTAGCTAATAGAAATCTTCAAACTGATTTGAAATGAAAAATACCCAAAGACCAGACAGACATTAAGGCCTTTAGGAAAGACAGATCCCAATAGACAGATAAGAAAATTCTCAAAAGACTTGTGGAATTCTTCATTCAAATTCAAAGATGTCATGATGAGGCTCCATGACAGGCAAACTATTTTTGCAAACTACGGAAAGAAAACAATGTCAGAACAAGTATGAGTAACAGCAATGACAACTTTACAATCTGGACATAAAAAGTTCATGGGAAATTTGGCTAGAGTGGATTTCCATGATCACAGGGACATTCTGCAAAGGACCTGCTGCATGATGATGATTACAAATATTGAATGTGAATGTTGCGCAGCTGATATGGAGTTAGACCCGTCTGCTTTATAATTACATAAAGGATATTATAATGGTAAAACATTTTAAAGTTCTTTCATAATATCCTACCCCAGATGACGTCACAGGACAGTCTAAAAATTTATGATGCTTCTAACAACCCCAAAATATATAGAACTGGCCCTAACCCCAACCCACCCACGTCCTACAAGAGTGTGCAGCCTAGTTCCCAGGATTGCATGCAGCCTAAGTCCCACAACTGCATGCAGCCTATCTACCACCCCTTGAAATATTAGACTGACCCATGACCTGTGGATTTCCCCTGTTTGGGGTAGGATTTTGAGAAAGCACCTATTTTAATTTTTTTCTTTTATAATTGTAATAATATAATATATTATTTTATGATGCTTTGCACATGAAAAGAATTTTGTGTGTGGCATTTTTTTCTTATAAAAATACTGAATAAAATTAAACATAATCACAACATTATTCATAGCTTATTCTCTCTACAAATTAAAACTGCACTAATAAATAGATTTATCAAGAAAACAAATTATGAAAATGTTAACAGAATACCTTTAAAAAAAACTTCTTTCACAATGAGTTTGGAATGTAGTCTATACCATTATCCGGTAGAAAATATGTTATTTCAAAACATTTCCCCTATAATAAATTAAGGAAGCTTTTAATATTTATAAATTGCTATAAAATCTGCCCAGATACTATTCACAAGCTAGACAAACATTTTTTTAAACACTATTTGTCATTATTTTTTGACTGTTTAAAATGTTGATAATTTTAAGAAGTAGGTTACTTCTCAGTGTGCATACATTAAACATCTATAACTTTAAATCTATAGAAGCTCATGTTGGGTTATCTTCAAGACACTCCAGACACTGCTGGTGCTCCACTTTCAACATACACAATAGGGTCCCACAGTTAACAGTGCCGGTCCTACGATGGTTGACAAGATTTCTCCTACATCCGATGTACCTCTTATGTCTGGCTGTGCTGATCTTTACTCCTGGTCTTGTCTACCGTCTACCCCTTGACTTTCCTTCAAGCACAGATTT